ATTTCATATTTCTCTCAATATTTCACCATCGCATCGACGGGAATGAGAGAGACCGAGCAGCTGTACGCGATGCCATCCTTCGTCGATAATCATCAAGCAGCAGCAGCAACAGGCGATGGTTTCGAGCAGCAGCAGCCCATCGGTCACCGTCCATCTGCGCGCCTCCGACGACCCTCGAGCGGACCCCATTCGTTCACGTCGTAAAGCCACCAGATTCAGGGAGCCGCCGGCGTCCGCCCATCAACCGCCTACAGCCATGGCCGTCGACGGATGTCCATATTCACCGAGAGATCTCCTTCACGACCGGAAAAAATCAAAGATGAACGACGTTCGACCAACGAGAGCAGACCCGGCCCGACGACCAGATTACCGTGTATTGAACTGTTGATTTTAAATTTCAGCCGACTTTTGGGGATTATTGAGGTCTCTGGTTGTGAATTTTTTTTTGCCTTTTTCACTGTGTAAAAACCGTTTATTTTTCAAAAGATTGCGGTATATGTTGTGTATATATGGAGTATATGTTCTCTATAATATAAGAGCTACTTTATATGTATAGTTTTCTACGTTATATATATGGTTTATATTCAGTATATTTTCAGTATATGTATGGTTTATGTTTAGTAAAATCATGGAAAATATATACAATACATATACCATCATTACCGTTTGCGTATATGATGATATATGTTGCGTTTATAAAACCGAGTTGGGTATATGTTGGGTATATCCGAGTATATCCGAAGTAATTTCTCTGGTTATCTGTTTAATAATTCCTTTTTTTCTCAGGTTATCTGTTTTTTATTGCACATATACTGAAGATGTACTAACATAAACTCAAAATATACCACCTGGCGGCTGCGTGAATTATAATATTGCAACATACACTGGACATATACTAACATAAACTCAAAATATACTACCTAGCGGCTGTTGAATTACAATGTACAAGTTGCGTGAAAATAGGGACTGACTCGAATTTGAATTGAAGATCATGTTTTTTTATCCCCTGATTGTGGCGGAAATCAAGGTAACTGAATGGATTCTCTGAATGGAAACTCACGATTGAATACAATTTATTAAATAAAATAACAGTTTTAGGTATAAATGAAAATACTTTTTTCTTTAAGATAAATTTAAAAATATTTTAATATCTAGTGAGAGGGGTAAAAATTTCCCTATTTCTTACCTTATGGGCATCTTGGCCAGCCTGGGCGCACTTTTGCACTGTGGGCCTCATGGGCCTTATCTTATCGGTGTCCTGCTTTCGGCCGCACAATGTGACAGTTCTTCACTTCTTTGTGCTTAATCCTTTTCCAATTTCAGTTGTACAAATTTTAATATTTCTCATACTTTTTATTTAAATTTAATTTTTCGTCCACTTTATTTTTTTTTATAGATTTTTTCTATTTTATAATTTTATACTAGACAAGTAGGTTATGTTTTTTCTTTTTTTTTTTCAATTTTAAAATACACAAAATTAGTATTTCTCGTATTTTTCAGTAAGTAGATCATTTCAAAAATATGACTATGTTAAATAAGACAAAATCAATTTTACTACAAAACGAAAATATATAAAAAGAAACTTCGGTCTATTATAAGGAAGGTGAAGAAAATTAGCTTTTATTGCTTTTTAAAAAAGATGGTACGATTAGTTTTTAGTGAGATTTTAAATTTAATTAAAATAATATTTTAAATTTAATTAAAATAAAATTTAAATTAAAATAATCAAAGCTCTTGATGTAAAATATGAGAAAAATGATTGGAAATAATGTTTAGTTAAAATTATGTGAATAGATGAATAGTGGATTAAATTGATGTGATGTGTAAGAATGACTAATTGATACTACCTCCTTTTTTAAATAAATGTCGTTTTGACTTTTTTGATTAATCCATTTTGCTATGTATCTAGACATATTAATGTCTAGATACATAGCAAAATGGATGAATCAAAAAAGTCAAAACGACATTTATTTAAAAAAGGAGGGAGTATTATTTAAATATATTGATAATATTAAAGATAGTTGTAGTGTGTTTTGTGACTTATCGTGTGGTTTCTAGCATTGCTAGAGTGGGTTTCTAGACGATCTCTGGATCTGTCCTCACAATTTTTTCAGTTGTTGGTTGTGTAATTCAGCTAAGGGTTGTATTTTGCATATTTGTGAGTTCTATTTATAGAAACTTCTATCGTTTCGAAAAAAAATAGCTGAGTTTGAGTTAAAATTGAGTTAAAATTGAGTTTTGTTTTGTATTTTACTGGTTAAGGCCTTTCCATTACTCTATCTTTACAGGCATCTTACACAACTTCTATTATATATTATATTATTTATCCAATTCATTCATCTTACCCAATTTTTATTATATATTATATTATTAA